CAACCTCCACCGCCGCCTCCTCCTCCTCCGCCGGCGCCTCCGCGTCGCAGCAACCTGCTGCCATGGCGGCGACGGCTCCACAGCGCCACCAACAGCAGCAGCAGCAGCAGCAGCACCACCCAGGCCCCGTCCGGCAGCACCAAGAACAACCCCCACCGCCCCTGCAGCTGGCAAAAGGCGACCGCATCGTCGTGCTTCACGGCTTTGCCGCGCGCTCGGCGAAGGAGATGTCTGTGCGCAAGGGCGAGGTGCTGAACGTACAGAAGGCGTCGGGGACCTGGGTGTACGCTGTGAGGACCGTGCCGGTGGCGCAGGGGCAGACGGCGTCGATGGGCGCGGGTGGCAGCGGCGGCGCGGGGGAGACGGAGAAGAAGGAGGCTGGGTGGGTGCCGGTGGCGTTTGTGGGGAGGGAGGGCGGGTAAGGAGTTGTGGGGCCCACGATGCTGGCTACCCCCTCCACGGAGTTCCGAGCTGAGTAGAGGCTCGTTCCACGGTGGCTTTTGTTGACCATCGTGGTTTCTCGCTCTTGTTTGCATCTCGTTCTGTTCGTTTTTTTTCCCCCTGCTGTTCTGTGATTGCTGCCCCTTTTTTCGTTTTGCGAAGTGCGTTCCTTTCCTTCGCGGTTGGCAGGGGTGTGAGGAAAGGTCGCACAGATCGATCGGGCGGGTGATATCCTCCCCTAGCATATTTTTTCCTTCCAGATCCACCCCTCAGTACAGCCCTCTTGTTTTCTCCGACTCTCGGTTTTGATTCCCCCGCTTCCCGATTATGTGTTGGGCTTCAACGCTTCATTTTCTTCGTTTTTTTTTGTCACAAAAGGGCAGCGTCAAAACGTTTTTGCGCAATCTCTTTATTCCTTGTTCCCCCCCAACCCCCCACGCCCGTTTGTAGCCTTGCCCAACCCTATCTTTGCTCCTTTTTGTTGCATGCCTCAGAACCGAAAAAGAGTTTGCTTTTTTTTAATTTTTATTTTTATTTCGGAACGATGGAGAAGTGCGCTTCGTGCGAGTTGAGCGGACTGAAGGTCCGTTGTTAAGCCCCAGCAGTCGCTGAAGAAGTCATCATCAATCGCATAACGACATGTCAGACTTGAAACCCCCTGGACGCAGCCTGTCATTGGTGGAATGGCTGGACGCTGGTGTGTACCGCGTACCAGTAGGGCATGTCTGAAGATGTGCAGAGAGTATGTACTCTGGCAGACAACGTGGCCGAGCGGTTAAGGCGACAGACTAGAAATCTGTTACGGTTTCCGTGCGCAGGTTCGAGTCCTGCCGTTGTCGACAGGGAGGAGTGGAAGTGGGTCTAGGTCAGTCGGTGCAGTGCTGCTGTAGAAAGAAAGTGGTTTCCTTTCAATGCTGTTCTGGATCGGTCGAAACCTCTCCCCACACATGTTCTCAAATTCCTTTACTTCGATTTTGATTTTATTTTGTTTCTCCAAACTGAAAGCATTCTGCGTTTTGTTGGACCAGCTGCATTCCCCACCCACGGCCCCTTAAGAGGAGCCCCTGAAGGGACCATGTACTCACCTGGGTGCATACCACCTCTCGCTACCCTCACCTCCAGGAGCCAGATGGATTTGAAGGGACTATGTATTGGTGCCAAAGGACAGAAATCAGTTTGAAGAAAAAAGGAAAAGAGAAATGGCCCAAAATCAGAGAGAGGGAAAATTGACAAGTCAACCCCCCCTGACTTGGAGCATCCACCACAAATGCTCCAAGTCCCCCCAACCCTATGCGTGTATGTACAAGTGCCAAAAATAAATAATAAATTAGGCGGGCTTGGGGTACAGCCTGCCAGGCACCCCATCCCTAGGCAGTTGGGCAATCTCCATTAGTCACTGAAAAGAAAATATGTTGAGAAAACCCTGGCGCAACAGAAACTGTTAAGACAAAAGTAGTAAAAGCAGGCCCAATAATAAAGACAGGTTAGCTGCAAATGCACGTTGATAACACCTTGGAAACTAAAGAACTAGGAATAATAATAGGGGTCCCGATCCTTGCGGTTTTATGACAGGTACGCTTGTTATTGCAAATAAAATCCCTAGACTTTATCACTGAGACCTTGGTGTAGTCTCACAAGACTTCTTTGTTTGCTATGGAACAAATTTCCATTCGTTTCTTCTTTGTTTGATAGTAGGTCTTTTCTAGAACTTTTAATTTATTTTTTTCTTTGTTTTGCACTTTTTCCCCCACTGATTTGATGGGTGGTCTGCCTCATTGCAGTGCATGGCTGGCCTGTAAGTCCAGCTTCTATTTTTCCAGAGTTTTCACTGTTTGTCAGCCAACTATTTTTCTTTTTTTTTTTCCATGAACTTTTGATGACTCTGCAGTCTGTCCCAAGGCTGCAGTTTTGAAGAGTGAGCTTTGGCGCAGAATGTTGGTGCTTGACTGTGCCTTTGTTGTTTGGGGTTTCACGAATGTGGTGGCTTTTATTTTTGGATTTGTTTCCCCACAGACGCAAGACTTTCTCACATGTCATGTGACCACCTTAACTGGCATACCCGGCACCACCTTTGCGTCACCTAATGCGTTGGGTCCTGGGGCGTCCCACATTGTCCAAAGCAGAAGCCCACATCCCTAGGAGGCCCAGTAACGCTCTGACCAAATTGCTTACCTCAGCCCTGCTGCCGTTGCTGTACGCCAACACAGTAAGGTCGTTGAATTGAATGGAAAGTATTTTTGGGTAAGGGATAGAGACTGAGGTCTCTGCTTGATTTCATCCCACTGGGCTCCTCTTTTCTGTGTGCAATGCTGGTCTCCCTGGTGGGAAGATTCTTGGCTGGAGAAGCTCTTGTCCACAAAAATTTATTTGTTGTTTTCGCCAGGGTTCCAACTGCATGTGGGCAGTAAGAATGCAAGAAACAGAGCAGTCACAGTCATGTAAGAAAACAATGCTACCCATAAATGACAAGCACCTGAGGCGCTTCTGCTGGTCAGAGTTGCTTCTTCTGGTTCCATTTGGCTTGGCGTGTTGTGCTCTGTGGCTGTCATGAAATGAAAAAACCGAAACTCAACAAAAGCCTGTCTGTGCCTTCTGCCGGAATCGGACCGACGACCTTATCCTAGCAAGGGCCTGGTAGCCTCCTACGAGGGATCCGCTCTGCCAGCTGAGCTAAGAAGGCCCTCTGCGTGCAAAAGCACCTATTTCTGGTCCAACAAGGGTTGGTCTTCCATTCCGGTTTGATTTGGTTTCATTCAATTTTTCAGGTCGGACAGCTTGGACTTGCAAAATTGCGAATCAAGTCAAAATGGAAAAAACCCCTCCTTCTAAACAAACTGGTCTCAAAATGCTGATTTTGTAAAGATTTTCTATAAGAAAAAGGCAAATGTCTGATTCAATTTGAGCGTGGTGGCTGATTGGTGCTGCAGGCCTGGGCCAGGCAGTGCAAACAAGTCTCCTTTTTGAGAAAGACAGCGATACAAAGCCTGGCCAGCAAGCACCTTTTGAAAGACTGCCCCCATTGGGGGGCAGATTGATTTAGGCACCTTGTACAGCAGGTGCATCCCAGGCCAAGCGTTATAGTGCACAGCACTGTCCAGCTCAGCCACCTGGCCATCCTGAGCGGGAAGAGGAAAACAACCCTGCCCATGGGAGAGCAAGCCACCGCCAATGCAGACCTGGGCGCTGGCTTGCTCTGATGACAAATACTCCAAGTGTTAAGTGGAACGGAAACCTGGTGTCAACAGTTTTCCTCCTCCTCTGCTCAAGCAGATAATATAGGAGAGGTTTTTACCCTGTGCCGGTCACGCTTGCCTAGCGACTATTACAGTGTGTATATCATCATCATGTATCAATAATTCATAACAGAGTTTTTTTCTCTTTCTCTCCAAGTTGGGGAGCATGACCACTCACAAACACACATCTCCACTTCATTCACTCCTTCCACTCACTCACTCAGAGTAGACTGTTTACATGTTTTGATGTAAGCACGGGGAGCTAACAGAGCCTCGGGGAATAGGTGCTTTCCAGTGGAGCCAGGTCAGCCATCAGGCCCAACCAACTTCATCTTCTCAATCAATCAAATCCCAATCTAAGCCATCAGAGATGCTCTTCTTGGCTCCAGGTGGGGCTGATGACTTGAGGTAAGATGAACAACTTATGGACATGCAGCACATGCTGTTTAAGCACGCTGCATGCAGCCACTGCTGTGTTGGTGTTGAAGTTTCAGGCTAGTGCAGGGTGCAGAGGTTTGGGGTTGGCAAGGAGCTTGGCAAGGAGCGCCTGCTGCTGGCTGGATGAAAATTCAAAATTTGATCCAATCTGTTATGAATCACCCTCTGGAACCTCTGGAACCTTCTAGAACATTACTTCATGGAACCTTGTGGAACCTTCTGGAACCTTCTTTGCTTTCCTGACTTGTCTTGTTGTCATTTGTATCATTGGTATCATTGTATTACTAATTGCTCTTTCTGGAACTTTCTTTGAGTCTTTACAAGGAAGACTTTCAAAAGGTATAAAAAGGGGATGGGGGACCTGTCCCATCCCTCAAGTGAATTATTGTTTCCAATACAATCATCACTCCTCTCAGTTCCTTGTCTGCCTTGTCCTGTCCTGCCCTGTTCCTGACAAGCCTGTCACCGCACAGGGGCACACACACAGTCAATGGCTCACAACTCTTGTTTGATACCTTTTTTTTTTTTCATGCAGTCAAGGGCGTACTCCAACAAACACACTGCCACCAGAGGGGGTTCACTGTGTGTTGGCTGGTGGGCTCTGGCGACCTGGGGGTGTGTGTACAAAGACAGTCCAGTCCAGCAATCTTGCATGCAAGTTTTGAAAGGAAGAAACAAGAGTCAGCAAAATGTTCTATCAGGCAGAATGAGAAGCTGCTCTGGGGACCAAGGTGGAGTTAGTAGTAGTAAGTAGGAGTACCAGATCTGTGCTTTCTGTGGCACTGAAACTGGCCCACCCCCCTGAGGGCTGCAGCGTCAGCGAGCGCCCATGGTGCGCCAGGCAGAAGGCACGGCAAGACATTGGCAAACCACCAGGAGAGAATGAAATGCTCTGGGTGAGAGTCGAACTCACGACCTTCGGATGTCTGTGCAATACACCTGTGTGTGACCAGGGAATTGCAGGTATGAGACCGACGCTTTAACCAACTAAGCCACCAGAGCCTCCACAACATTGCGGCGCTCAAAGACCTCGACTTACCCTTTGTGCCAACAAGCCTGGAAGGAAACTGTGCATTGCAACTGTTTGTGCAATAGTCAGAGCGTGCAAACTTGCCAGTGGCTTTAGGTGGGCATGGCGCTCGTGCCCGAGGCCTGGAGCAGATGCTCCCCATGTTGCACAACCCAGGCACCATTGTAACCCTCTAGAGTCCATCTGAGAGCAATTCCCAGATCGTCTAACGGTTAAGATTCCGCCCTTTCACGGCGGCGATCGGGGTTCGATTCCCCGTCTGGGAGGAATCAGCCACCTGTTGCGTGCAGGTGATTGGTTGGTTGGTTGTGCCGCTGTAAGGTCCTGGCGCCTTGACTCGTCTTATTTCTGTGCTTCTTCTTGGGGAACCTTTTTTTTCGCCTATGACTTCGGCCAAACCCCCCAACTTGTTCAGTGTGGAAGCATCCTGGGATCCTTGAATCCTCTTGAAAGCGCAGAACCCCCACCCCCTTTCAGGACAAGAAAACACAATCAGCTGACCAACACGTAGTCACCTCCCACACTGTGCCTCGCTGCCTGACAGGGGGCACATCGAGGCCCAGCCACCTGACAAAGAAGGACGACGTGTAAAGCCACACAGCTCAGTCCGTGTCGGAGCTGCTGCTGCATACTGTAAACAGTCTACTCTGAGTGAGTGAGTGGAAGGAGTGAATGAAGTGGAGATGTGTGTTTGTGGGTGGTCATTCTCCCCAACTTGGAGAGAAAGAGAAAAAAACTCTGTTATGAATTATTGATACATGATGATGGTATACATGCTGTAATAGTTGCTAGGCAAGTGTGACTGGCACAGGGTAAAAACCTCTCCTATATTATCTGCTTGAGTAGAGGAGGAGGAAAACTGTTGACACTGGGCTTCTGTTCCACTTAATACTCGGAGTATTTGTCATCAGCACAAGCCAGCGCCCAGGTCTGCATTGGCGGTGGCTCGCTCTTCCATGGGCATCGTGAGAACGATAACTGACAGTCACAATAGGTTCGGGCCCGTCTTGTGCCTCTTGCTGCTAACCATTCAGTTCCGCCTAACACACAGGGGCGATCCTTTTGCACTGTTAGTTTCAGGTGCTCCCAGAGATGCTTGATTGGGTTCAGATCTGGGCTTTGTGCAGGCCAGTCCAGAACTTTCAATCCACTTTTCTGAAACCTTCGTCCCACTTTCACTGCTTTGAGCTGGTGCATTGTCTTGCTGATGGATGATATTGGCAGCCACGTCCTGTTGGTAGTCCATTTTTATATCCATATAGTCCAGAAAACCCTCAAACTCCACATCCAGAATGTCAAGTTACTTGGATGAGTTTAGTCTGCCATCTTTTATGAATCACCCTCTGAAAACTGGAAACTTGTGGAACCTTCTGGAACCTTCTTTGCTTTCCTGACTTGTCTTAATTGGTATCATTGTATTACCAATTGTTCTTTCTGGAACTTTCTTTGAGTCTTGACAAGGAAGACTCCCAAAACGCATAAAAGGAGGATGGGGGACCTGTCCCATCCCTCAAGTGATTTATTGTTTCCAAAACAATCATCACTCCTCTCAGTTCCTTGACTGCCTTGTCCTGTCCTGCCCTGTTCCTGACACCGTCAATGAACGAAAAGCATCCTGGGTTTGAACCCTTGAAACAACCCCAATAGAGAAAGTGTCCTGACTGCTCTTGCATGAACCTTGCAAGCACTCTTTCATCATACTTTCCCCAGCTGTCCGATTTGAAAGTTGCCTTGTCAGTCCAAATAACTTTGGCCCAATCCTTGACGGTCTCTGTCCAGTCCTTATGCTTGTGAGCAAATGCCAGGCGTCTTGCTTGATGCAGAAACAGAAGAGGCCTCTTCTTTGAAATACGGCTGTGAATTCCAAGCTGGTGCAAGTACTTCTGAATGTTCTGGTTGAAACTGGAGAAGACAGGGCCGAATTCAAGATGTTTGAGATGTCCTGTAACAAACAGCGACGTTTCTCTGCAGAGCCTTTTGTTGCCTGAGCCAGAAGTCATAGATCTTAGGCTGAGAGCTTTTTTGGCTGTCTGCTGCGCGGGAGATCACCAGGCTCCCTGTCTTGTCAAAAGGTTGTATGATACTATGGGCACTTGATCACTTGATCAAAACAAAGTCGCTGATCCTGCGAATGCTCCATCCTTCTCATGCAGGTTGACAACTGTCTTGCATGTTGCAACATCGTGCTTTGTGTGATTCTGTTTCTCCATGCTGAATTTGGAGGTGATCTTGGGGATGGTGATGGAGGTGGGAGCCACAGATCAGGTGGTGGTGGCAGCAGGACAAGGCTGTTTTGACAAGAACATGAATACTTTTCTCCCTCCGCAAGTTTTTGGAGAAAAACCACACAACACAAACGGGTCAAATCTTGCGCCTCCAATAACTCCCCTCCAAGCACCGCGCTTATCGTTTGCGGGGGTTTTTGCTGGATTGAAACAAAGTGACTCGGCCTTCATCGAACGGTGGAAGGTTTCGAGTGTTGGGGACACCCCAGGCGGCCCACCCGTGCGGGGCGTGTAGCCGACTCACGTACGTCCTTCTGCCCATTCACTTTCAGATGAACTTCTGCCCAGTCTCTCTCTTTCTCTTTCCGCGCGCTCCATGTCCCCGCCCACAGCGCCGCGCCGACACCCTTGTGGGATATATTTTTTGCCGCAGGTTTGCTTGGCACCGCGGTGACGGCACAGACAGGCACATGAGCGAGCACACACACGCGCTCGCGCGCAACCCACAAAAGGCAAAAAGGACGCCCGCCTCGTGCTGAATTGCCGCCTCCACTCGGATTTTAAATAGTGTATAAATTATCTGGAGCTTATCTTTTTCCATTTTTTCATTGGTGATTGTGCGCTTTCTCGTTTGTGTTGCAGCCTGTCTTGCCTCTCTCTCTCTCTCTCTCTTTTTTTTCTTTCCTCTTCTTTGCTATCTCCTTGGGGCAAGACAGCTCGCGAAAAAAAAACAGAAATTTCAGCCTGTCTTGCCCGCAACGGTCGCCCGACGAGTCTCGCGCCCATTCAACACACACACACACACACACACCACACACACACTACTCTCTCTCTCTACTCGCTCTCTCTATCTCTCTCTCTCTCTCTCTCTCTCTCTCTCTCTCTCTATCTCTCTCGATCGCTCTCTCTCTCTCTATTCTCTCTCTCTCTCTCTCTCTCTCTCTCTCTCTCTCTCTCTCTCTCTCTATCTCTCTCTCTCTCTCTCTCTCTCTACCCTCTCCCCTCTGCTGTCTCTCCCAACCACAGCCCGCATATAAATCAACGCAAGCCGAACAACCCGTTCCCCAGTACCTCACACACAACCCAAAAAACAACTCTTAATCTCAGGCCCCAAAAAACTCCTCTCTCGACCAAATCAAAAACATGCGCTCTTCCGTCGCCGCCATCGTTGCCATCCTCGCCGCCGCCGCCGCCGCCGTCAACGCCGCCCCGGCACCCGCCCCGGAAACGGCGGTGTCCTTGGTGCGTCCCCAACTCTCCTCCCCCCCTCCCCGCTGGTGCTCAACCTGCGCCTCGCACGACACCACAGTTACCTTCACTCCCTCTTGTCATCCCCTGAGCTCCACCGCCCCACCACCCAACCTAGGCGCCTCCCCCTCTGCGTGGTCCATCGACGGTGTACTTTTTCGCCCATGGCACAGATTACTAACCTCAAACAACTCCCTCACCCAACCCACACATACAGACCCCTGCTTCAAGAACCACCACAACATCTGCGACTAAACTAATTGAGATGCGAGAGGCCGCCCGGAACCGTCATTGTTTGCAGTTCCCCCCTCGACCACAACTCTCCTCGTCCTATATGTTCCAACCTCAGTGAATGTTTTTTTTTTCCTTCTTCTCTTTGATACGTGATACTCGGAACCCACCACCCCACCCATCCGGTTTTTTGCTTCACCCTTCCGTTTGTTTGCCGCGTTTCCCCCGACTTTTCTGTTAATGCGCTTCCTCGTCACGGAAGTCGGGGCGTTTCTGTTTGGGCCAGTGCAGCCCGGCCGCACGGGAGGGGAAAGTGTAAACGGTTCTTGAGGTGTGGGTGGGTGGGGGACTCAACATTGAAAACAGAAAAATGTGAAAGAGAAATTTCTATGCGAAACTGCTTGTTGCAAGGATTAGGAGTTCGACATTATTTACCGACGTGTGGACGTGAATCGCAGCGGTGTTCGCTCCGCGAGAAGTAGGTGCAGGACGCAACGCGACGGGAAATGGGGAAAAGGAAAAAGGAATAAAAAAGGAATCTTTGACGTCAATTCTGTTAGAGACAACGCGCAACACAGAATTGTGGAGATTTAATTGCAGTGTCAATTCTTGCAGTCCAAAGCAAAGTATTTGTAGGTTACCACATGTTTTTAGCGGATAAGGTTGCCAACCGTCCAGTATGGAGCGGATAGCAGCATCTTTGAACGCCCATCCTCTTACAGCAGATAGTTAGTTTAGTATTCGATTCCGGATATTGAGTCAAATATTTTGTGACTGAGTTTACTAATTGAGGGATGTTTGTTTTTGTTTTGCATCCGGGTAACGTGAATCCCAATTCCCAAATTGCGGTTATCCATGTGCGAATTAAACTGGATATACGGTATTTGACATGACAGTTGCCAACCTTAACAGTGGAGTGTCGGTTCTTCAGAGGGGCCAGAATCGTTATATGCCCAACAACGTCATGGTGCACACTGACGACACCGGCCTACTGGAGCGATGCCCATGGCACGCCCGGCAGTTACTTCGATGTTGTGTTGAAGTTGTCCCCCTGATCAAAGTAGCCTGCTTTGCAACCTCTGGATCAGGTCCACGATTGCTTCCATTTTCGATGTTTGATCCATTCCGTGGATGAAGGCGCTCGCGACGATTGTGTGTGCCTGGGGTGAGTGCCATAGCGGCGAGCGTCGAAACCCGCTTTGACGTGATTGGAGTTCACCAAAGAAGTTACGGATGGCGCTTTTGTTTGCGGTAGGGAATGTCTTGTT